TTGGTTACAACGATAACTCTTTTCCACCTGATCATTCCATACGATACCTCACGGACTACCGCTTTAGTCTACCTCGCCTTAGTACGGACCGAGCCTAGAGAAGTATAGCCTAACCCCGTGTAACATTTGTCTTCTTCGGACGTGAAGTTTGGAGGGTCGGGGACGTAGGGAAGACGCATTATGAGATGTGTCAATGATGTATACTTGCGTGAATGCAATCTGCTTGTATATACTTGTGAGATTCTGCTAGTGAGTCAATCAATGTAGGAAAGTGAGTCAGGCCGTATGCTCGTCGCAACATGCCCCGAGGTCGGGATGCAGTTTCGGAAAGGATTCCGAACACTGAACATGCGGGGGCGAACCACACACAACTCGTTTCGCTTACCGCCTATCGATAACGCGATGAGACTTTCATCCCACCCTCCTTCCCACTTAGTCTCTGACCCATTGCATTGGGCTGTGTAAACAACAACGACGATAAGCAACGAACATGGCGCCCAATTCCAAACTCAACGCGAAGCGCAAGGCGCAGAGAGAAGGAGAGAAACCCGTGAAACCGAAGAGCGACAAACGTCCGAGTTCGACTGCCCCAGTCAAAGGGCCTGGCATATCGTATATACCCATTGAACTTCAACAACTCTTACTCAACATCTTTCGGAACTCGTTTGCGGAAAGGCTGAGTTCAGACTTTGCGCCGCTACTGCAGGAAGTCAAAGGTCATCTTTATAACCGCGATTTTGCGACTGCGTTTGGAAAGAATGAGTATTTGGAGGTGTATGCCGCGAGATGGAGTCCCAGTCGTGCGTTGGGGTATTTAGATTTGATATGGGAGTGGAGAGACAAGTTATGGGCGGACATAGATAAAGGAGAAGAAGAAAGAGAAGAGGCCGGCAAAGAGGGTACCAAGTCGAAAAGTCGGAAAGTCGTGTGTCTCGGTGGCGGAGCAGGTGCAGAGATTGTGGCGCTGGGTGGCATGCAGAAGTTGATGTCTAGCATGAACGCAGAAGAAGAAGAGGATGGGAAAAGTGAGGGCACGGGGTCACATGTCGAAGTCGCTGCGATAGATGTCGCCGACTGGAGCGTCGTCGTGGAAAATCTCGCAAAACAACTCACCACCGCGCCGACACTCAACAAATACGCATCAGCAGCTGCGAGAGCCGCAAATGTCTCACCTCTCAACCCTGAAGATATCTCGGTACATTTCAAGCAGCAAGATGTACTCCAAGCCTCGACAGAAGACCTATCTGCTCAACTCGCAGACGCAAATCTCGTAACGCTGCTTTTTACCCTCAACGAACTCTACTCGACATCCATGCCTCTGACCCAGAAATTTCTTCTCCAAATGACATCGGTCCTCCAGCCCGGTGCGCTTCTCCTCGTAGTCGACAGTCCGGGAAGCTACTCTTCAGTCACGCTGAACGGAGCTGAGAAGAAGTACCCGATGCAGTGGCTACTGGACCACACGCTGCTGGAACAAGCGACCGAGAATCGGGGAAGCAAAGATGAGATTGTCAGGTGGGAGAAGATAAAGGAAGATGGAAGCAGGTGGTATAGGCTGGATGAGAGACTGCGTTATCCGATTGAATTGGAGAATATGCGGATGCAAGTTCACTTGTATCGGAAATTGTAAAGCGCGCAATGTTGTTATCGAAACGAGAAATAAATGGATATAAGCAAGATGCCAAACACTAAACTACAACTACATGGCTCTCTTTTGATAACAGTCTCAGGCTGAGCGGTTCCTACCAATCGTATGCCGATTTCGGCTCTACTCATACCGAGCCTTGATCATGTCTGCTGCTTTCTCGGCAATAGCATACAGCGTCGATGTCAGGTGACCACAGATCTGGAACGGAACAACAGAAGCATCAACGACGCGAACATTGCTGGTACCATAGACAGTGAGGTTGGAGTCTACCACGCCCCCAAGCTCACGCGGCATCATGGCAGCCGTCGAGATGTAATGGAAGTTGGAGCGATCTACAATGTTGTATTAGTTTCAGTTTCACTTTGACTGCATCATGTTGTAAGGGAGGGTGGGGGGGAGGCGGGAGCTTACACGTCGATTTCAGCCACTTCTCCCAAACGGCGTCGGACGCGTTGGTGGGTACGACGTCGAGGCCGGGAGTCGTCTCGCTAGAGAGTGCGTTGGAAAAAGGCGCTGTGTTGGCAAACTTGCGCGCCATCTTTGCCGTCGCAATCTGCTGCCGGATATCGTAGTCCAGCATGAAGTAGTTTGGGTTGATATTCGCCGGCGCAGATGCATTGGTAGAGTTGATATGGATACTGCCGCGCGAAAAGGGCAAAAGGCCCCAGTACTCGATAGTAATGGGCCCAGTCGCTGCGGGCGAGACAATGATTTCGGAAATGGGAATCTTGTTCTTGAAGATGAGGTCGTACTGGATGCGGAGCTTCTCGGTCACGGAGCTGTCGATGATGCCGCTGGCGTTGGCGGTCCTGTCGGCGTACTGCTTGAGAGCGCTTGCGACGCTTGCGTTGAAAGCAGCAAGATCGGATTCGAAAACGTCGTCCACGTTGAAGTAGGCTGCATAACCGGCGAGTCCAGTGAAGTTGGTGCTGTTGTTGTTGGTGTAGAACATGTCGGTGGTGGTTTGGTCTTGCAAGTTCTCGCCAACGAATGGAAGGTCGACGACAACGTCAATGTTGTGCTCTTGAAGAATGCTATAGTCATCGTTAGTCTCTACATAGATGTATCCGTGTCGACTTGAGTTGGTGCTTACGATGGGTTACCAACGCCCGACTGCTCCAGAAGCAGCGGCGATCTGAGACTTCCTGCCGAAAGTATGACTTCGCGATTGGCGAGTATTGTGGTCCTCGTACCATTGAGCCCTGAGAAGACAACTCCACTTGCGGTTCGTTTAGCGTCTCGATGCTCTGATTCTGGATGCCATATCATCTTTTCGACGAAGGATTCGAGATAGATGTCAAGATTGGGCCGCTTCGACACTGGCCAATAATAAGCGCGTCCAGCATCTTCTCGGACATTCTCCGCTCGTTCAATGGTCTTAGGAAAGACTGTAAGTCCTCGCATGTTCCCTGCGTTGGGCTCCTCGTTGAAGGGAACACCCAGAGCATCGAAAGTCTGATTGATCGAAGACATGACCTCCTCACCCATCATGTTGTTAGTCCATCCAACGGCCAAGGGACCAGTGGTACCATGGGTCTCGGGGTCAATCGAGGCTCCACGGAGGAGCTGAGATTCGCTTGGCTCTTGAATGTACTCGCTCTTCTTGTAGTATGGCATCAAGCTCTCCCAATCCCAGCCTGCGTTTCCGATCTGTTGCCATGCATCGATTTGTGCAGCTTCAGCTCGTAAATATGTCATTCCTGTCGGATGCAACTGTCAGAACTAAAGGTCGGGTTGAGATTTGTTGTTTTGGACGAACCGTTGATGTTACTTGTTCCTCCAAGTGCCTTGCCTGCGCGCAAAACTTGCGAGGCGTTTCCAGCAAAGGTCTGAGGAACGCTTTCGTACTGCCAGTCGACCGAGGTGCTAAACGCGTTTCCATATTTCGAAGTGTCGGTTATGTTGGAGTTGTATAGCTCAACGCCTCCAGCCTCAATGACTGCTACTGAGACGTTGTAGTCTTCGGAAAGACGGTTTGCAACAACAAGGCCTGATGTTCCACCACCAACGATGATGTAGTCGTATCGTGGGCTGTGTCCAAACATCTCCTGCACCTTTCGTCGCCGCTAACGCTGCTGGTGCTAGCAGGAGTGTAGGAAGGGTAATTTGCATATTGAACATCTTGAAAAGAACGTGAAAAGAAGAGTTTCTCGGTACTGAATCAAACACAGAAAAGCATGGAAGTGAAAGTGGGCAATTTGAGACGCATTGCGATGCTATTTATCGTGGATAACGATATCGATTTTTCCATGGCGTACAAACACTGTAGCAAAGGAGAGAGCTTAGCAAAAGCTTAGCAACAGCAACGAAAGTGGACCTCTTTGCTGAATTCAACCATTATCAAGCGTCTTGTAAGCTGCTTTGTTCCAGTATTGATCCAAAGCTCGGCCAGATTTTTTCTTTTCGCCGAGGTGCTAGTGCCAGCTAGCCAAATCTTCACTTGGATCGGACTACATTGTTCCATGCGACACAACAAGTCGTGCAGCAGTCGCGAGGATTAGATCAGCTTCGCGATCTTTGCGGAACGCGCTTGGTTGGACGCGCTTTCTTGACCATCGTCGAGCAGACATGGCGATGGCGTGTCTTCCAGAAGATTCGATGTTCAGGTGGGTACATGTGGAGCCCAATATCCGTCATATCCCTGCGACTCTTCATTGCCATCATGGTTTTCGTAAGCATTTGCAATGGGCGCGCACGGCCAGGTCAGCTACGGCGCGGTCCGATTCCGCAGCCACCACCGTTATAACGCTTCATTACCGTCCCCGATTGTTGGCTGATGCCTCCTTGCAGCACCGACCTAGTACATGCATGTGTACTGCCGTCGCAGGTGTTGCATGCCGGAGACGCTGATGCCATCTGCAGCGTTACCTGCATCCATTCCGTATGATGTCCACATCGCTATTGGAAGCAATGCCCTTGGCCGACCCGACCCTATCACCCACCTCTAACCTCAGTACAGCTCCACCCTCTCTCCCTCTCCCTTCCGTTCTCATAAATCTCATCTGGCCTCTTGATCCCCGAGTCAACCCTCTCCATCCTTATACTCGACCGCGACAACTCCTTCGTCACGAGTATACTGCTCAAGCTGTGGTGCTCTTGGACGCTGCGTAGACTGATGTTGCTGCTTCCTGGGCTTTTGGGTGTCTCCCGTAGACGTGTCTTTTCATATCGCCGAAGGCAGATGGCAATCAAGGGTACGGCGAGGAGAAGACAGACGATGGCTATCACGATGCCGATGATAGCGCCGGGACTAAAGCCGTCGCTGCGGGAGCTGGCGTTGGGGATTATGGCTGGCGGGGCTTCAGGTGTGAAGGTTGAGGTAGGCGCTGGTGCCATCTCGTTTATCTGGTAGTGTCGTAGAGGATTCGATGTCTTTGTCTAGCCTCTGCTGATCTTGTTGCTCAAGCGTAATGAGTTCTGTCGATGGTGTCTTCGATCGGACGGTTCCAACCTTTGAGCTACTAGCGATGGTAGTTCGTCAAGTGATGCTGACGATGACCGAAGGTTACAATGAAAGGAAGTCGAAGAGAAAGTTAACGACAGTAGAGTAGTGAGCGAATTGGCCTAGGTAAACGGAATCGAGAACGACCGAGAACTGCGTTGCACAACGAGAAAGAAAGGATATGCCGGGCTGTCAGATCACAATAGTGAGAACATGAGGGGTTTTCATGCACAAATCGCAACATGTTCCACCTTCCAGAACAATCAACCCCCACTCCTTTGCCATGCCTATCCCGACCAAATCGTAATGTCTGCTGGCCACACGCAGTTGAGTTGTGCCTAGCGTAGTTGGCGAACCCTCGTCGCGAACTTAGAATTGGCTGCAAGGCAAAGTTAGTGGCGTTAGCAAGGGACCAATCACGTCGCATTGCGCGGCGGAGGAGGCGAACGCGTGAGTAGAGCCGCATTCTGGGCAGAAAAGGATTGCGCTGAACGACCAGGGGATGCAGCGAATGAACTGCTTGCGTGATGGATGGGCAGAGGTGGAGGTGTGAGGCGTATGTGGAGAGACGCGGGATCAGGGTCTCGTTGGACCGGAGCTGAGCGAGCGAGGGCTTGCGCAGGTACATGTTTGGAGGTAATGGTGCAGGATTTGACAAGGCGCTGACCGCTTCTTGTGCAATGGGAGCTGATGGCTGGTGCCATAGGCGCGTTCCTGGGATGTTATTGTCGTGGTGTGCGCCTACCCCTTGCTCGTAAGCGAGGCTGGACGCTGCCCCTCATCGTCGTGCTTGCGTCCTGAAGCAGTGTCGTCAGCCGGCGAGGCGATATGCTCGGGATCATTCTGATTACCGAAATCTATAGGTATTATCCCAGACGGTTCGGTCGTGTCGATAGCTAGCATTTCCTAGAGACAGCTGTACTTTGGTGAGGGGCCATACGGCTGGGTCTCACTAGTCCCAACAGCTTCACTTCCTTAATAGGCAACTTTCAAAAAAGCTGTTGATCACGGCGAGAGCACAGAACCCACAACCCACCCACTACCCCGCACTTCCTCAAACAGGCAACTTACAACAATGGCTGTTGATCACGGTTGCACTAAAAGATTCATAACCCCGCAAAATATGGAGACAGCGATCTCTGTCACATGACTAGCCTTGGCAAGCTAAGGCTACGAAGGGCGCGCCCCGGTCATCTCATGTACCTTAGCATCTAGGATAGATAGCAATACACAGGATACCCACCAAAACCCTCACAACCGCTGTTGGAGACAACGATTGCTCGGGTACTGCGCAACCCAACGAGCTTCTAACAACGATGTTACTAAGATAACTTCGGCTCCCAGGTATGTCTTGCCTACACACCAGATCACTGTACCACGCTGACTAGAGTCTCTAGCTAATCATCGTCTTAAGCTATTCGTAGTTGCAGGGTAGCGAGGCCCTGCTTTTTTCATCTCGTCTCTCATTCGTGTACGGCAGCTACGCTGCCTCGTCGTGGTCATCCTTCATAAATTGCACTCGGTGGACCTCGTCCCACCACAAATACAACTCTCTTTCCCTCATGTGTACTGTGGATGTGCGTGCGGATGTGAACAAAAAACGTTGCGAACGTGATGATGCTGAGATTTTGGTCGTGCGACTCGTTCCATGGAAGCAATCGCCTTAGCGAGCTTTGCCGTTGAGGCCAAAACGGTCCGTACCGCAAACAACCTTGGTACGATCAACCAAGCTATGTCCCACTTTTCTCATTGCTGCACTTTCGCATATATAAGGTCACCGATGCGTCTTTTGGGTTGTCTTCCAGCTTGCTAGGAAAGTGTTTGCTGTGAGAGACTTTTCCCCCAACAGACCCGCGACGACAATATTTTGGCAGCGATCCTCCGCGCCTCAACGATAGTGAGCATGGCTGCCGCTGAAGCGGGGTTGCACAGCTAACCGCCGAAACAGCTACCGAAGCGAATCCCCAGCAGGCCATTTTACCGACCGACCCCATCATGGCGCATTTTCTCCGACTGCCTCGCGAATTGCGCGATCTCATTTACGAATACTACTTCGACGGTGAAGGAGGCTTCAAATATGATTTCGTCACCAACAAGCTTCGATGGGCCGATGGTCTATCCATCGACCTGTCTTTGGTGCTTGCTTGCCGGCAAATCGCTGCCGAAACACATGTGAGGCGTAACTGTAGGCAATAGTGCTTGCTTCACGTTACTAAGGATAGTGGGAGATAGCTCATGTATTTAGACTACAGGTGTAGGTTGTAAAGAGAATAATCCTGACCTTGCTCTACAGAGCGAGGCGCGCCTTATAAGCAGGTTTAGCGCGTACTCTGTTCCTTCGAGGGACGTGTGTCTCGAGCCCTCGTTACACACACGGGCTTGCGCTGCGGACCAACACACTCCGATTCAAGACATTTCACTCAGATCATACACAGGAACATGCTAGTGTACTCCATATCGTCAATCGAGAAATATACGAGAGACAGGAGTCACTACTAGACTCACTGGCTCCTGAGCTTCTCAGCCAAGAGCAGGCGCAGGTGGCGAAGTCGCTATATCCCCAATTCGCGCCTGTAATAGATTATTGGCGATTGCGTGGAAAAGTCCGTCACATCGGCGCGCTGTGTGAGGAATGCTGTGTAACTCCATCAATATGGCGCGATTTTGTGGCATTCACGTTGAACTTGATCTCTCAACAGCCCGGATTTCTCGGTGAAGCTGAGGCGCTAAAACTGGAGGCTCGCCAGAAGCGATCTGGATTCTTGTTTGGTCCGAGAGTTATGGTCATTCCAGACCCAGATCCGCATGAAGATGCCAGAACTCTTGCGTTGAACGAAGCAAGGCCTGTGCCATGGCAAATCACAGATATCGAGGAGATCGCGAAACTGCGTGAGCTCATCATAGACGACAACGTGGTCCCTCATTCCAACACAAAGTACACTTACTCAGCAGCTTCTATGGCTCTCCGGTTGTTGCACTCTATGCCGAGGGTTACGCGTGACAATATCAGGAAGATTATACTGATAGAAGACCGCGAATCCATCGCGTTTCCTCAAAGCCATGGTAGGGGGTTCATTGACGTCTGTCGAGAACACCCGCAACTCAAGGTTGAGCGCTTTGTCAGTCTTTGGAGAAATGCAATCCCCGTGTCCTATAAGGACATAAGCGCTTACCTCCATGGTGATCAGAATTTCCTTGATCACGGGCTTCTGGACCGTCACCGTTGTGACGCTGGTTTCATCAGCCAGGGGGTAGGTACATGGATCATGGAGGCTAGGGCACTCCCCTCGCTCGGGATGCCGCAAGATTCCTTCACCCTCGTACTTGATGGTGATCCCTTGCCTGACCAGACGTCGCGCATCTTCAAAATCATCCAACGCGATGCTGCTTGGCAGAGCGCCCTCGACATTTGCTACGATACTGGACTCCTACCACGACCTTCTTGGCCTGATAAGCGAATTTACACTGCAAGTTTCATACATGAAGAATTTCCAGAAGCAATCGGTGCTATTTCAACGCACAGCTCTTTGGTCAGAACCAACTTCCCCGTTGGCGCACCTTACGATGTTGAGCAACTGCTGCAAGAGCACGAAGGATGGACGCCGGAAGACTGGGAAGAGGGATGGCAATTACACGAGCCGCACCAATTCCAGACTGAGGCGCCGCTACCCCCGTGGCACCTACTTCGATGGCAGCATGTAATCAGATAAGACGTCATCGAGTGCAGGGAGATGGAGATGGCCAAAGTCGAATCATTTCATGGCCACGGCGGCGCTCGGTGAGGGGCCGGGGGGCGGGCGCTGGATGGCGGCGGCATAACGTCGGCCGTCCAGATCACCGAGGCCTGGGCGGTCTTACTTTTTCGTTAGACTTGATGACACTACGGCATCTTTGGAATGGCGATGACCAGACGCACGTTAGTAAAAAACTTTTTCCCTCCGTTGTTCCATCTAAGCATCCGGCATAGAGATCTTGAAGATCAGCGGCGTTGCGGCCTAGGATGAGTCCGTGCGTCCGTGAACTTGAGGGGTACCGCATTCCCCCAACACACGCAAGACCTACAGACACATTCTCGAGTCAATGTGGGCATTTTAGCAACCGATGGAATGACGACAGTGACTGACCTGGACTGCGCCCAGCAGGTCATGTGCCAGCGCGATGTCGCGGGTCGCGGGTCGCGCCGGCGCTTTGACGTTCGTCAGCCTTCGCGACTTCTCGAATGTTCTACGTCATCTTGTTAGCTGCCTACGACTTCGAACCACGCCTTCACGTACCAACAAAGCGCGATACCGCTCCGTAAACGTTCGCAAACAGTCTCCAACATGGATGTCCAATTATACGTGTATGACCTTTCTCAAGTAAGTGCTTTGAGCAGGTGTACAGGCGCGCGCATTCGCGATGCTTTCCAGAATCGCCCAGAACTAACTGCATACAGGGTCTTGCACGGAGCATGTCGATGCAGTTTCTAGGCATACAGATCGATGCTGTATATCATACCTCCATCGTGATTGATGGCGTAGAGTACTACTACGGCCAAGGCGTACAGACATGTCAGGCGGGAGCTACACATCATGGCCGGCCCATGGAAGTCATCAAGCTTGGCCAAACTGCACTTCCCATGGAGGTTATATTGGAGTATCTCGAGTCTTTGAAGGAGGTTTATACCCCTGAGGTATTATTCCAATTGACACTTGTTCTTAGACTACGCTGACGGCAGATGCAGGCCTACGATCTATTTGCGCACAACTGCAACAACTTCTCCAACGACTTCGCCATGTTCCTCGTAGGCAAGGGGATACCAGACCACATTACATCGCTCCCACAGACCGTCCTCAATACGCCGTTCGGGCAGATGCTACGGCCGCAAATCGACGCCGCCATGCGACCCATCACGCAAGCACCGACGCCGCAGCCAGTACAACCACAAGCCAACTCGAAGACTTCGAATGGAAATACATCCAACGGAGCCTCATCTGGAGGAAGCGCATTGGAGATGAATACGGGCAGGGTCAACAACATAACAGCGCTGAGAGACGTAGATCGCCTTCTCGATCTAGCGAAGGACCGCTGCGCCATCATCTTCTTCACGAGCTCTACATGCGCGCCATGTAAACTGGTATATCAGACGTATGACGATCTCGCCGCCGAGAACGGTACGAAGTGTGTCTTCATCAAGATAGACTTCAGCCACGCCGAGCGCTCGATCAGCACCCGTTATCCGAACGTTCGCGCGACACCAACTTTCATAACATACTTCAGAGGCGAGAAGCGAGATGAGTGGAGTGGCGCTGATCCAATGCAGCTGCGGAACAATGTGGAGATGCTAGTCAACGCTGCATTCCCAACCCATCCCCATCTCGAGAAGAGCACACCCATGCTGTTGCGGCAAAGTCAAAGACCAGTCAAGTTCGCAAAGGTACCGCCAATGGAGAAGCTGGTCGCGAAGATGGGAGATGCTGGGAAAGATCCGGCGGTATCATCCATTGTGTCCTTCCTCCAGATGCGCGAGCAATCTGGAGCCATGGAAGCGCCATTAGGCGATCTTCCGCAGCTTGCCCAATTCCTGAGGAGAAGCACTTCAGTCCTTCCACCAGAGCTTCTCTTCACTGCACTCGACCTGCTTAGAATATCGCTAATCGACATTCGTGTAGCTGGCTTCTTTGCAGAAGAACACAAAGGAGCCACAGGCACACCAGCAACCATCCACCATCTTCTCGATCACGTAGACAAGCTTGGCGAATCTGCGCCTTACCCGCTTCGACTTACGACGCTACATCTCGCATGTAATCTCTTCACCTCGCCGCTCTTCGTACCACATCTCCTCGCTCCACCGCTTTCGTCCACGCTTATCTCAATCCTAACGACCGCCCTACTCGACGAAAAACACCCCGCGCTCAAGGCCTCGGCCCTCAGCCTGGCGATGAACATAACATCTTCCAATCATCAGATAAGGATGAAGAAGCACAGCGCAAATGTGTCGCATGCGCCGTCTTCGGAGTCTGAGCTACCGGAAGCGGAGCAGGGCGAGCTACTGGCTTCGCTGCTGGAAAATATCAGTAGTGAGGAGCAGTGGAGCGAGAACCAGAAGATGGGCATCATCTGTGTTGGCTGGTTGGTATATGCTGCCGATCTGCAAGGCGAGCTGAGAGACACATGGAAGGTGATGGATGCCGCGGGTACGATAGGGAAGGTTGAAGTGAAGGCTGCCGAGGATAGATTGATGGTGAAGGAGGTGACGAGTTTGCTTGAGGCATAAACTACTTGGTGAGGACGTCTGATAGGTATTGACACGTAGAATTCGACTCTAATATACACGAAAATGGCACCTTTTCGAAACGAAATCACTCCGTCACATCCATGTCCTCCGTCTCCTCCATCTCTTCCACTTCTTCCATCTCCTCGTCCTCCATATCCTCCATGTCCCTCATGTCCTCCGCGTCCTCCGCATCCTCAACGTCCTCAGCGTCCTCCGTCTCCCCTATCTCATGATGTGTCACTACGATCTCCTTTGGAGTGAATTCATTCTCTCCAAACCGGATCATGTCTACCACCGGTGGGATCCGCCCACCATCCGATGCCTGTAGCATACCTGATCTATACGCCTCACTATCCGTTTGTCTTCTCATTCCAGAATCCAATGGCAACGCTGTCTTCCCGGCTGACTGATATAAATACCTCGGCGGAGGGTACGCCATGGGGTCCTCTTCGATGGCGTCTTCCATGGCTTTCCTGGCTGCTATCCTCTCCGCCGCATTCTTCGGCCGCGGCGCCTTGTTCGCATTCGAGTTGTTTTTGGTTCGCTTGTAATTGCCTCGAGCAGCTTGTGCTTTCTCCACTCGTTTCTTCTCTTGTTTCTTCTTTCGCATCAGCTCCTGCTTGTTGATGCGCACGAGTTCCTCGTCCCCGTTCGCGAGTTTGATCACCCTCCACCCGGGTGGAGCGGGGTTCCAGAGGGCCGAAAGACTTCGTCGTTCCTCGCCGTAGGGTTTGCCGTAGCGGTTCTCGAATGCGCGACTGGTGCATGTTAGCAAGCGCTGAATCAGGATACTCAAACCCTGTCAGGTGTAGGCAGCGCATAACGTGCACCATTTCCAGCCAGTTTGTCGGCTGCTTCATTGCCTGCATTGCCCGAGTGACCTTTGACCCAGTAGAATTCTGTGATCCCACCTTTCATCCTGCGCTCATTCAGAATCTTAACGGTGTCTTCGATAAGATCCCAGTTAGGAAAGGAGATTGGCTGAACACTCTTCCAACTTTTAATCACATTTCGCTTGTACCAGATCGTTACTGAATTCATGGCGTACCGCGAGTCGGAGAAGGTGATGACATTTTCGGTCCATTTGACTCTTGATAACGCGTCCCGGACGGCAGTCAGCTCCGCGCGTTGATTGGTCTGGTTCCCATCGACGAAACTACTACAATTTCTACAAGGACGTCAGCCACAGACTCGCTGTGATACGTTGTTGGCGGCGTCTTTGTATGCAAGAGAGGTTTTATCTAGACGCTTACCTTGGATCATTTGCGCCGAAGAAGATGCCAGCACCAGCGGCAGTCTTTTTGCCTTGCTTGAGCGAACTACCATCTGTGAAAACAACCGTGCGCTGTAGGGCGTCGCCTGTGCACTGTTGAACGTCACCCATATCGAAGGATTTAGTGTTGGAGCAATGTTGCCAACGCAGGACTGAGGATGCTTCAGTAAATAAAGGGGAAGTCAATACATAGCTAATGCGAGTGTAAGGGGTAGTCAATACGTAGCTAATGCGAGTGTAAGGGGATGTCAATACGTAGCTAACGCGAGTGTTGGGGCGCCATGTAAGAGCTGCAGGAGGTGCCCCGTTCAGCCCGGGTTCCTGAACGGGATCTACGGGCTGATCACCAACTTTCTCAGTACCATCACCACACGAGCAACGACGGTCGGACGAGTTGACAAATTGTTATGGGACGAAATTTCGTGATGACTTTTGTGCTTATGTGAAGTACGGTAGATGCTTGCTGGCTTCGATGGAATGTTGTAAAGTTGCCCAGTGTAGTTGTCAAGTCTCTCCGGGGCCGGAAATGGCGTGTCGCACCACCGCGGGGTCAACGTAGCGCAACTATCAGCGTTTCTGCCCAAAGGCAAGGGGTATTTCTTAAATGCTATGAGCAGCGGTGTTGGAAACATTTCCGGATTTACCTTCCATCTTTCCAAGTCCACCCAAAGCTTTTGCCTCGGTCTGCTCCTTCAATACTCTAACCCTGTAACACCATGCCTCTCAATCCTGTTTTTCACATCAATCTCGTTATTCTGATCTTTTGGAAATACCCCAACTATATCTTGGACAATGCAACCATTGCCGCTCATCTGTTGAAATACCGTTTTGACCAAGACGCCGTCGTTGAATTCATTCGTGGGCCAGAAGCTTTACGCGTATGTATGTAGCCTTCGTTCGCTGAACTTTAACCAACTCACGCCGGTTTCCATAGGATACGATGCTTGCCTCTCTGCGCTCCTTGATCCAGGAGGAATGCAGAAGAAGCACTACTTTTGCTACGGCATTAGAAGGGCACGTGATCATGCCATGCCGGAGGTCAGCGTCGTTTGACATAGTTAACATCAGCAAGAAGTACAAACTGTACATTCCAGTGCGCAAGACTATACTCACGTTATACATCCGTTGAGGACGTCTTGAAAACAGATCTGAATTGGAGCTTCGCTTAAGTCATCATAGCTCCAGCTCCCTAAATCCGGAAGAAAGCGGTATCGAGTGCGATAGCCGGAGGCATCAGAGCCTTAGCTTCCTACGTCCGGAATGGAGCGATCTCGAATGCGATGTCGAAGACGAGTATTGGTCATCTGCTAGGGAATGGCTGAGAGCGCGATATGGTGAACAGCAGCCTGGACCAGACGTTCCGACAGAGCCTTTTTGTGAGGCGTAACTGTAGGCAATAGTGCTTGCTTCACGTTACTAAGGATAGTGGGAGATAGCTCGTGTATTCAGACTACAGGTGTAGGTTGTAAAGAGAATAATCCTTACCTCGCTCTGTAGAGCGAGGCGCGCCTTATAAGCAGGTTTAGCGCGTACTCTGTTCCTTCGAGGGACGTGTGTCTCGAGCCCTCGTTACACTTTTCGATTCCTCGACCTCCCTGCGGATCTACGATGGATGGTGTACGAGTATGTGGCGGGCAAGCAAATCTGGCCTGGCGGTTGGACCAGTCTGGGTCGACTTCAGGAGTATCCCGATTGCAACAATGCCGAATCTCTGACCGACCTGAAAAATGAGTTTTGCGATAAGACTTGGTTCAACGGAATATCCGTCGGCGTCTACCCAATGTCCTTCGCGAAAGATCAAGAGCCATATGAAGAGTCGTCTGGTCTCTTGCCAGAAGATACACATGTCGGCCTGGGCCCGACTCGGGCAGAAGAAGCATCTGCGATGAGTTTACTCCGTGTCAGTCGTCAAATTCGCATGGAATTTGCGGCGGTCTTGTGGGGCATTACGATCAAGCGATTCAACTGTTTGGCCATTATTAAAAGCGTCGTACAGTATCTGCGAAAGTACTGTACACGACAAGAAGTTCTAGGGCATGTATTCGCGCCTCGAGATCGTTGGGTATTGAGACGCGTATTCTTGAGTTTCAGCAATTACGAGTATCTCAAATTTTTGGGGTACGATATTTGTGTGGGCAGTACTTTTGGGGTAAGCAGGCGGATCGAGAAAGGGAGGCAGAGGGGAATCGTCAGCGGTGTGAAGTTGCTGAGTGATATACACACTTTACGGCATCTGAACCTCCAATTCCAGATAATGATGCCTTATCGCTATTACGGAGATCCCGAGATCACGCCGTGGGACCCCTGGTATTCTGAAAACGAAGCGCCTCGGTCGTTTTGTCAGAAGGAAGTTGTCGACATCATTTTGACGCTGGGTTATGAGTTACTTCGAGGCTTCCGAAAGGTCACGATATCCGGAGATGTGAAGACGTCGAATCACGAGAAATGGGATCCTCTTTTGCGCGACCAGTTGCCCCCAGGCAAACCTCGAGAAAGGCGCGACATGACCGCTGACGTCGCCAGGATCCTGGCCATGTCCGATGAAGAGCTGTAAGTAGTTTCAATGCCGTATACAATCTGCTTGCGCTAATCCGAACGTCAGTCCGCCGATCTGCCGCTGCTCAAAGCCATGTCAGTGGTGGTGGTCTGAACGTCGGGAGGAGGATGGGGAGTGGGATATGGAATGGTTGGAACATGTGAACCCCGAGTTTTCCTGTGAGGACTGAGAAAAGGCCAGGCGACAGTGGTGCACATATCAGTTTGACTAATTGGAGATGGATATGCTGCTTCGAATACTAGAGTAGATGGTCGGATTATTCGTCCGTTTCGCATGCAGCGACTTTGAAAGTTGCATGTCATTTTGCAATGCTATGCGCTTCAGGTGGCTCTTTATGTATCCGCACATCTTGTTCGTTTTTCTTTTCGTGCAGATAGATCAGGCTGCATTCTTCCGGTTGAGGTTCGAGCTAGATTGTAGGGTAGGGTAATAAAAGAATGGAAGAGGGACAATGAATAGGCTTCGCCGCCGTTTACCGTCCGAAGAACAAGACGCCAGTACGGCTGAAGGCTGCGCTATACCACGGATAGGTGCTCAGATGGGTTGTGTATATTGCTTCAATATCGCTGCTGCAACAGTTTCGCATCTCATGTAGCAGCCGAGGTCTACAGTTGGATCAATTGCGCGCGCCGGTGGGCGGCTGTGGAGGCAGATGCAACCTTGGAAAGAAGGGTGGCGTTGTCTGGCAAGTAGGTGCCTGGTGTGCGACGCGATCGCTGGGCCCACCGAACCGAACGCCGACATGGTCACACCAACCACCGACAGGCGACCGTCGCATTTGGATCTCGGCCACCTCAACGTCAACTTCAACTTCCGAGCCAATCAGTTATCTAACGAGAGTTTCCAGTTCGGAGCCAGGGTTGCACCATGCTTGTTTGGCAATGTTAAGGTTCCATGTCAACACACTCGGGTCGTCACAACTTCCACCTTCCTATACCAGAGGTTTATCCGGGTATATGCGATGGGTAGAGGATTTCCAATGGTAATATTCACCGGTGACGCCAAGAACAGTATTCGGCGCTGATGAGAGTTAACATGGAGAGATTTCTCACGCAAACTGGCGCTTCCTAGTGTAGTTGTAAAATCCTTGCACACTTCAACCGCGAAAGCTAACACCACGTGTAGATGTAGTCCTCAAGATTGTTCAACCTTTCATGGAAAGCTACATTATTAGAAGAAAAAACAACCAGCACACATGCGCTAGTAGTCTTCACCTCCCTATCGAACCTCGTAGCCAAGAAATTCTCAGCAGTCCACACTAACAATCGCCGCACTACTCCAAGGCACCTCTACGCTCACCAAACCCTTCCCATCAACCTTTACACTCTCCCCACACGTCACATTACCCAAGCGAACAGGCTTCCCCTCATCAAGCTCATAATTATAGCTGTACCCATCCCACGTGATACCAGAAATGGCATCACTTCCATTCGCCAACAGCCTCTGCACGTGGGCTTCGCCTTTGCACTCCTGCGGTAGCTGGAATGTATACGTCTCGGAGGGCCGGGGGAAAGCGTCGGTGTAGTTGTTGTCTGCGGTGGTGTTGTACGTGTGTAAATCGACGAGAAGCAGGCGGGCAAGCGTGTCGTCAACGTGAGCAGCGTATTGGGTCGAGTATATGGACGAGGAGGCGAGGCTTGAGATGTGCAGGCGAGACGAGGGCGAGGGCTTGTGCATGAAGGCTGCAACGGCAAGGTTGCCGTAGTAAGGGGGTTTGGTGCCACGGGTTGTGATGTTGGTTTCGATCGGTTGCCAGGATTGGTACCGGTAGTTGGTGCCTTGGTGCATGTGAGAGCGAGAAAGGTTTTGCGATGCAAGATAGACGTTCCAGTCCACACCCCACAGGGCAGCACCGAAGCTGTTGCTCAGGCCCGGTCGTCCTTGGCGGGCGAGCGAGTTGTGCTCGCCCATGATGAATGGGAGGTTGGGGTCGAGCGCTTCTCCCAGCTCCTTGATACCTCTTGAAACATTGAGCTGAGCGTTTGCCTTATCTACCACGCTACTGTGATTCATCAATGTGCCTTGCAAGGTAATGCCAGGGTTCGTGGAAACACCCATGTAGTTGTGGGATGAAATTAAGCCAATGTTGTGCTTCTCGTCCAGACCTTGTCTGAACACTTCCACTGGATCTAAAGTGAAGTAGTCATTGCGCGCGACGCCTGCGAAACTCGGTGCCATAAACTTAGTTCCCGCAAGATCTGGGCAGGCTGCCTTGGTCGCCTCTTCGATGGCAGTGGTGCCGTTTAGCCATTCAGATACGTAGTCGGCTTCGGTCCAGTTGTCAGGTCGATAGCCAGAAGCATGGAAGAGATCAGGCTCGTTGCCGTATTCCCAAAATAAAAGGTCGCTTCCTATCGCTTTGCAGGCATACGATACAGATGCCCAAGTCGCGGCTCTTGCAGCGCTAGAGTTGGCACCCATATTGAAGCCGTGGACAAACTTGGTGCCCTTGGGCATTGTCTTATAAGACTCGAAATAGGACGGGCCAATGGTGATGATGGTCGGGTAGTCGGCTGAGACGTTTGGCCGGATGATGCCGATGAGGCCAGTCTTTTGCGATTCATCGAAGATGGCGATATCCCTTGACCATGAGTCAGCTATGTATGTCCCAAGGCGCAATCAAGGTGTAGTAGTACTGTGTATTGCCGCCCACTCGAGCGATTGGCAATGAACCTTGGAGTTTGCCCAGGTTGCTCATGAGATTGTATGTGAACGCGTTCGGGTGCGACAAATTGCCTGTAGGCATTGCAAGTCAGTAGGGTTTCCACAATGGATCCTGACATGGAAGCAAGCATACCAGCGAAATCGGGCCATGATGAAAACTCGAAAGAGAATGAGACAAAAGAGTCCAGAGGAATGCCAGCCGTGTTGGGAGCTGCTTTGCATATGGCGATTGGCTTGGAGGAAGAGGGGATGTGAGCAGCCTCTGCCTTCAATGAGGCTACGAGAGCCCCGAGGAAGAGCGAGCGGTTGATTGAAGGTACCATCTTGGTCGTCCGATAGCGTCATCATCGAGATTACCTGCGCAGACGTTTATGGGCGCCGCCGGCAACGGAACTTCGGCCAGCACGTCATGCGGCAATTGAAATCCATGGACCCGGTCATGAATCTGGTATTCTCAATGGACGATCCTTCGTTTTGCGGGGGAAAAAAAGTCGGGGTACATGGGTAAAAGCCGGGGTAGTCGCACGGTCGGTTTCTCGCCGGCGCTGAGCCGCATGCATGGATGCGCGGCTTCTTGCCCGCTGATTGGTTTGTTTGCCAGTTGGACCTCGGGACGACTCCATCAATCAAGGCCCGAATCACCCTCCACTTTCCGGACATGAACAAATTCTCGGAATCCCGTCTTTAACAACCGATTCGCATTGTCCTTGGCTTGCGCTGGTTTGCACGGCGTTTGGCACTGAGCGACGCCTCGATAGGTGGATTTACTTTCAATGCAGGTAAGTTGCATCAATCATTTCCCTTGGCATGTTAGCAGCTATGATCAATATGCATGCGCATGAGTAAGTGTAGTTGGATATAGCGACCCCGTTAGTGTCAACATCGTCATAGGACTATCAAAAGCAGCTATCTCATCCCTTTCAACGCCTCAGCATCACTCTCCCCCCACGGATACACCTCCTCAGCCCTCCTAATCAACTCCCTGCACTTCTCACTCCTCGGTGTGATACTCACACGATACGGCTTCGGATGACTAACAACACCCGCTTCGAATTCCACTTTGGGCTCGACAATCTCCCCATTCACGACTGGCTTTTCAACGTTGAAGACAGCAAGCGACTGTGCAATGGTCGTGAAGAGGGCATTGTCGGCAACGTATCGACCGGGACAGACACGACGCCCGTAGCCAAAAGTCCATGTGCGTGGGTCGGGCTGCGTGGAGCCGTCGAGGTAGCGTTCTGGGCGGAAGGTCATTGGGTCTGGATAGATGGCAGGGTCGTGCGTGAACCACCTGCATACCGTTAGCGTTGATCATGTGCAGTCTCCGGATGGGTACGATGTGTACCAGTTGTTAGGCAAGATCATTGCACCCTTTGGTATCCTGTAGCCTTTGATGCTATCTTCCTGGGTACAGCAATGTGGTATTGCCATCGGGGCGACCGGATGCCATCGATGCGTTTCCTTCATCACGGCCTCGATATACGGTAAGCTTGCTTTGTCGCTGGTGATTGGGAGTCTCTCTCCGCCGAGTACGCGGTCCAACTCCTCTTGAGCCTTTTTCTGGACTTGTGGAAATACAGCCATGGCGAGGAAGAATGTCATTAGCGATGAGACTGTTGTATCGGCACCGCCGAGGTACATGGATGCAGCGGACCATTTATGGATGTACTCCATGGAGGCGTCCGATCCGAGTGATTCAATGGCTTGAGAGAGAAAAGACGTCTTTGCTTCCTTGTCTTGCATCTGAGTCTTGACGAATGCGTATGGCTCTTCGGCTGTGCGGGTCAATTGTTCCGCCATCTGGCGAGCTGTGCGCTTGAAGCTAGTACCTGGACACCAGTCTGGAAGGAATCGCACTTCTCCGTATCAGTATCCTCCCGGTATTTGTTCGAGTAAAGTGGGAAACTCACAAAACGGCAAGACATCCACGGACCATTTCCCTGGTACACTCGAATCTGCAAACTCGGCCATAGTTTGGCCCGCCATATCCACTAGCGGATCTCTTCCCTTGGCGTTTGGCGTGTATCCATACGTGATTCTCAAGATAACAGCACCTGCTTCCTTTTTGATGTGTTCAAAAAGTTCATTCGGAGAGTCCAGTACGTTCAACAAAAAGTGTGCAGCCTCTTCATTCTGGATGCGATCAAAGACCTTGAGTGAGGTGCTGGAACTAGCTACACTAGCGATGTTGCGACGATGGTGCTTGAAGGTCTGATTGGGTTGGTGCATCGCCAACGTTCTTGTCCAGCCGATCCTGCATCTGCGTTAGACATCTCGGTATTGCACCCAGGCATACGGAAGGCGTACATGTCTCCGCTAAACACCATGTGCGGTCGGCCTGAAAATGTAGCGGCACGATTGCTCAGTAGCTCTACCGCTACATCTGCATCGTTGACAATGATGAATGTCTGACCAAGTACCGTGATCGAGCTTATAGGGCCATAACGGTCCTTGTGCTGGAGCCAATGATGGCACTCGAGAATTCCAGGCTTCGGTAAGTCATTGATGTTGCCAAGTAAGGGGAGACCTTTAGGTCCAGGAGGGAGCGGAAGGTCGTGAAGATTCTTGCTCGAGAAGAAGCGACTGAGTGCGTATAGTACAAATGTACCAAACGCCAGAACTAGAGACGTAGTTGTTAAGAACGCCATGGCAATATGAGTTCACATAGAACCCAAAGTGCGAGACGATGAGCGAGGAGGTGGAAGCTCTAGGTTAAGGAGAGAGTTGGGAAAGAATACTTCGAACAAGATTGGGCTCATGCTGATGTAGCAAGCCGAACCTGAGTTTTCTCGCACGATGGTAGCATACATGCCTCATGTAGATTAGTGCCTGCGGAGCCGCCACGGAAATATCTCTCGTTCCCGGTAAGTAGTGATGCGAGTACAGGCATGCTGCAGCCATAGTTGCTGACTGGCAGTGTAACCCAATCCCATGTCATACTCGGCATAGTAGTGGAGCAGTCGCCGCCTCAAAGAGAAAGAAGAGTATCATGTCATTGCGCAACGTATAACAACGACAAGGGTTCAGACGCCATAGGATGAATCATGTCTCTTTCCGATGCATCATTCTCATTTTGTTTTGGCTGTTGTTGTCTGCGTTTGTGGAAGAAGAGAGAGGATAGTCCGCGGCTACCGGGCGGCATTGGGCGCGCTACGAGACGGGACAAAGTGGAGATACTTCGCCCTGCATGACTAGCGGGGAGGGACACGTTTGTTAGCCTTGCGCAGGGCTAGGCAGACAGAACGCCTAACATGGTCACGACCAATGAAGATGAGCCAGAAGCGCAGCATCTCCACAAGAGAATCATCCGACGCGAATGAGCGGCAAAGACCGCATATTGCATCGGCCATCGTGAGGAGTAGTTGGACAGGCACTGAGATACTGGTATAGGCTTCTATTAAGACGAATCCTTCAGAGGCTGTCAAGCCTCTCAGAAGGATGACATATATATACGTCACGTGATCGTGGCTGGTGCGGGCCGACGGTGCCTCGAAGGGTTCCCGGTAGCTCACCAGTCTGTGGCTGAAAACTGTGGTCATGGAACATCGTGACAGCCATCCATAGCTGCACAGTAGCTGCGCAACCACATATTGGAAGGTTGCGGTCATAAGGAAGATCACGAGAAAGGTCACGCAAACGATAATTTGTCTCCTCTATTCCTCACCCCTGAGCCGAGTGATCGACCCAACGATTCGAGAAACAGAGGCCTCAAACACCTTGAAGGGGGCAGGATGAGGTTGTTTAATCTTGCTTCAGTGTCCACACTCGCTCAACGTAGGAAATCGTGTTGGCGGGCTCTAGCAATTTGAAGAAGCGGAATGGAAGAAGGCCGAAGCCATGCCATGCCAGTCGCACTCGAATCCACACAACCCTTCGAAAGAAGCGTCGCAGGATAAGAGATTAGACTGCGAAAGTCCCTCGTGTCTCCTCTGCAGCGGAGATGTATACATCTCACAGCTCAAAATGGCAAGATGCCGACAGGTCGACAGGAAGCCTTTGGTCAAACCCCTCAAACAACATCACGAAGATGTTGTAGCCACGCATTGATTGGTGACGGATGCTTTGCCCATCCATAGTCACCATGCGTGCAGATCTTGACGATGGTGTTGACAGTCAGGGTCAGAGCCTAAGATCAGGATGGCACCCATCAGTCGGAGTCCAACTTCGATCTGCTATCCCGCCGCAGCGGAACCCACTGTTAGAGCAAGTAACAGCAGTGGAATGGCCACGCGCGATCTCAACAACGCAAGGTTGGAGTCAGACGCTGGATCACTGTACCGCAGCACATGCAACCGAATGGCAGAGAGATCAACGATTGTTTAACCGAAGATCATCAACGATTATTTAATCACCGTCAACGATTGTTTAACCGAAGACTAGTCATTTTTCCCGATGGTGAATGTATCACTATCGAGTGCTTCGTAGCAAAACGTGCCAAGGGCCATGCGGCCTATCGGAAACTGTCCGAAGAAAGTTCCATATCTGTTGGCTTCTTCCTCCAAGATCGGGGTCCAAGACTGCCGGTATCTCTATCTTTGGTCAAGAGGCCTAGCCTAATGAAGCCCTCTCTCAGTGTCGGGGATAAATCCCTGCTTGCGAAGTTCGCGAGTCGGTACGAATCGTATCGGACCACTGTCTGACAACACATGTGGATTTTATGGAGTAGATTCCTTGCGTGGGAGGCACCGGCGCATCGCGACGCGCGCAGAGGCGACTTCGACCGTTCGATGGGTAAGTGCTTAGCACGTTCCGTGGGGGTGGGAACTCGCGTGGCGGTCAGACAGACGCGTCTTCTGGACCTCCGTGGCTCATCTTGAACTCCATTGTGTCAGGTATAAGACAAGATAGGGCGTGATGTGGTGTGGTATGATATGGTATGGTATGGTTGGTATCGATGGATGAAGGATCAAAATGTTCAAAATGATAGGTAATGCATGTTTGAAGGTGTCGGCGACAATTCACGTTCGACGCGTCGACGTAACAAAGTCATGAAATGAGTAGGTCGAGAAAGCCTCTACAGCTACAAAGGAGCTGAACAAGAGAGGTGTAGAGGAAAAGGCACAGCGGGGTAGTCGCGGTGGCTTTATAGCTCCATGCTGGAGAGGAGGGAGTTGAGAAAAAGTGAAGAATTGGACTGTTCGGAAATGGGTCTGTGTTTCGCTTGGCATTGGTCCATGCATTCGCGTCATCGAAGCTAGTAGAGTGACGAACGACACAGCACGCGCCAGCACGAGGGATCGCTTCAACCTCACCAGGTACGCGATATGGTCAGTTTTCCGAGACAAATATACCCCGGGAAAGGAACTAACAACCGACAGTCGTCGAAACGTCGTGGGCCTCCCATGAAGGCGCCGCCTGCCAAACGCCCTTCAAAGCTCGCGAAAGAGAATGGTATAACGGCAGAGCAAGAGGCTGAGATACGCGAAGCATTTGGCCTCTTCGCTGTGTCGCATCCCGAACACGAAGGCTCTAAGGAGGGTGTGTTGAAGAAGAGCGACGTGCGCAGATGTCTCATGTAAGCCGCGCGAACTCACTGTCAATGTGCATATACTAAAGATGGCATAGTTCGCTGAACCTCACACCCGACAAGTCCGAGATGTCGTCCATCCTGTCTACCATCGATCCCCTCAATACCGGCTACGTCGAGTTTGTGCCTTTTCTTTCATACGCTGCCATCGCAATACACTCCAAGGAGCAAGGGTCCGACGAAGACGAAGACGGCGACGACTACCAAGGGGAGAGCAATGCAGAGGAAGTCAGCGCGGCTTATCAGCTCTTCACGCACGGCGCCCCGGGACCGATAACACTTGGGCATCTGAGGAGGGTTGCGAAGGAGCTGCGAGAAGATGTGCCAGACGACGTATTGAAGGATATGATCCTTGAGGCAAACGGCGGGGTCAAAGGTCAGGGCAAAGATGTCGGAGGAGTCAGCCTCGAAGATTTTGAGAGTGTCATGAAGAGAGCTGGGTTGTCTTTCGGATGAAAGCGCCAGAGTTAGAATGACCGACTCACGGAACAACGCATCGCACAATCTATGCGAAGCCCTTGTACAGTACCGCCATCGCACGCGTCGATGGTGACCTTACAAGACGTAATGCGAAAGTCTCTCAGCTCCTCAGCTGCCCGACTTCCCAGTGCTCCACCCGTGCACCCTGCTCAAACGGCGTCGAGCCAGGGAACGAGCGGCGGAGCTAGCGCACGATGCGCATCACACGCAAAAGGCGGCTGTCTACCTGGTACACGAGAACATATAGTGTAGAAAGTAAAGTCATGCAATGAGATTTGTAGAACATCTGTAACACAGTGCATCAACAGCCACGTCATGTCAAATGTGATGCGACGCCAAATATAGCCGATGCAGATAAGGCCGGCCCCATTGGATGGTGGCGCTGCAGGGCTGAAGTTCAGATGTTAGTGCCAAGATTCAGGGACCTCACCCAACAAGCACACGAATACGAACGCAACCGACTTGGGTAACGCCAATCGCAATCGAAAAGACGTCTCTACTGCTCCGCAGGGTCACCACTGTTGTACGTAACCATCCACCGTGTCCACAACCGCCGCAACAGCCCAGGCTAACTTGTCGACGCAGCTCAGCTCAATGACCACGCCCTAAACCGTGGACCCTTTTCTCCCCTTGTGTCGCCTAGTTCCATGTCCAGCGGCGTCGAAGTCCCCGGAAGCCAACGACGTCCCGGCATCTGGTCCTACTTTAGTTTCTCTGGCCCACGCCGCCGCGTCTCCGTCTCCCTGCCACGCAGCTTCGACCCCAACCGCGCCGACGCCAGCGACCCAAACGCAAAAGCCGACAGACACTCGCGACATCGGTCCACGTATTCGGACGCATTCATGAACGACCACAAGGGCAGCGCCGTCATGAACCAAGGGCAGCGGTTGCGCTACCTGAAGACAGGTGGCGTCATCGCATTCATACTGCTTGTCCTGTATTTCGTCGCACCGCGAGATGGCATATCCAGACCGGCTGGTAGGTTGAGGACACGTTCTTGGGAAGCCATGTGCTAACACACCCACCAGCATCGCATCCATCAGGCGGCAACACAGCAGCTGGCGATGCACAGGCACAATGCACAAAGTCCTACTCCAAGGACAAGCCGCTCATTCAATATGCTCTCATGGTCGACGCCGGCAGCACGGGCTCGCGCATCCACGTCTACAAGTTCAACAACTGCGGCCCGAGCCCCGAACTCGAGAGCGAGAACTTCGAGATGACACCCAAGCGAGAGGGAGGCTCTGGTCTCTCGGCATACGGCGATAACCCAGAGGCTGCCGCCAAGAGTCTGGACGTGCTCATGGACGTTGCGCTCAAGAACGTGCCCAAGGAATACCAGTCATGCACACCCATCGCTGTAAAGGCTACAGCTGGCCTCCGCAAGCTTGGCGAGGAGAAGAGCAACGCCATCCTGGCTGCCGTGCGCAAGCATCTCGACAACGACTACCCCTTCCCGCTCGTCTCCGAGGAGAGGAAAGGTGTAGAGGTCATGCCTGGCGAGATGGAGGGTGTATACGCATGGATCACCGTCAACTACCTCCTAGGCAAGATTGGCGGCCCCGACAAGAACCCCACCGCTGCTGTCCTCGACCTTGGTGGTGGCTCCACGCAAATCATCTTCGAGCCTACCTTCCCCGATACTCCTCGCGGCGGCCTCCCTACCAAGCTAGCAGAGGGAGACCACAAGTACACGCTCCACTTCGGTAACCGCGACTTCGATCTCTACCAGCACTCGTACCTTGGCTACGGCCTCATGGAAGCCCGCAACAACCTGCACAGCACCGTTCTCGCCGGCCTCCACGAGACGAACAAGGACAACAGGGAATACCTCAAGAAGCCCATTGTGAACCCTTGCATCGCACCCGGCATGACCCGCGAAGTCGAAGTACAGATGCCCAAGGGCCACGCACTAGGCGACTCCATCACAGTCAACATGACCGGCCCCTCTACCGCCTCTCCCACCCAATGTCGTGGTCTAGCCGAGAAGACACTCCACAAAGACGACGAGTGCGCCATCGCCCCTTGCGCTTTCCGCGGTGTCCATCAACCTCCTTTCGAGCAGACGTTTGCTACCGAAGCCGTATACCTCCTCTCCTACTTCTACGACCGCACACAGGACCTCGGTATGCCCGAGTCGTTTACACTCCGTGAGCTGCAGGACTTGGCCGACAAGGTGTGCACGGGCGAGAAGGGCTGGGATTCCTTCAGCGCTGTGCCGAAAGCGCTTGAGGAGTTGAAGGGCCGGCCTGAGTGGTGCTTGGATCTCAACTTCCAGTACGAGCTGCTGAGGAGTGGGTACGGTATGCCGATTGATCGCGAGGTCAAGATTGCGAAGAAGATCAAGGGTAATGAGCTGGGCTGGTGTTTGGGTGCTAGGTGAGTTTTCTTCTTCTTCTTTGCCAGTATTATCCTATTTGAACATGAATCATGGTTGCTAACCCTCATATTTTAGTCTTCCGCTGCTTGAGGCGAACTCGGGCTGGCAATGCAAGATTAAGCAGGTGCAATAGACGAGTATGAGGATTGTCTATCCAGGGATATTCCCGGTACAGTGATTGACGGTTCGATCCCTATTACCCCGGAAGTGTACGCAATTGTATGCATTGATTGGCGTTCTGTTGGTTCGGGTTGTGGTGCCAATGAGTGAAAACCTTGACGGATTCACTTACTTACGGCTACTTGCAATGGTGTTGATATAGAATGATGTATTCATAACCCCACAACAAACATAGACTTTGCAACTCTTGTCTCACGAGACAAGCTTTGTTGTTAAGAAATCCTGCTGTAAACTCTTCGCGAGGTTAAGACGCCCTGCTTTGAAGTTCCTCACGTGACGTCGGAGATGGGCGAGATAAAGTGGTGCGGAACGGAACAACGTATCTACGAATCGGACCGCAACGCATCAATGGTGCCACGTCGGCAAGACCGGGCACAGCTGCGCAAAAGACACGGCTGAATCGAGCGGATTCAGACGAACAAACGGCCTCAGCAAACAGAAGCCGGTTCCAGCCATAGTTTACTGCATTACACCTGCTCTACCTGATATCGATCGCCATGTCAAGCTCACACTTTGTTGACGAGGATCGTCATCCGCGGCAGGTACATCTTCCCAAATTATCATGACTCTAGTACTGTTATTCTAAAACATGTCCACAGAGGGCAGCAAGAGCATGTACCATGTGTCACTCACGAAGAGTCAAGTGCGATGCTCTTGATGCATACCCCTGTACAAAATGCAAAAATGCCAATCTCCGATGCGTACTACGATCGTCGCGACGTCGACAGAACACCATGTAGGATAACTCAGACTTGAGGTACTAATCGAGTGATAACATGACCGACAGTCCGGTATGAAGCCGTAGGCACAGAAGCAACGAACCAGCAGCTGAGCATGTGCATATGGAGTTTGAGACGTTTACAAATTCGTTGGGATCCCGCGACTCCGCATCCGCGCAGAGCCGCTTGACTACAAGATCGTATAGCGGCCTATCCTTGCCCCCGCATGAGATATCCGTGAATACCCCGACAGCCTATGCTACAATCGACTCGACAACTAGCGAAAATATCGATCGAGCCATCAGTCACGTTGAGAGTCAATCGTTGAGCGCTTCTCCCCGGATGCAGAGTCGTCACGCCATGATTCTGCACCTCGATGAGAAAGCCGCATTTCCGCATGTCCTCCACAGCATGTCGAACTCAAACTTTGGCGATGATAATGTAGTGCCGAATCATCATCTCCCCCTCCGGCCAGACCATGCGCTGGATAACAGCACGAACGCTCCCGAAAGGTACTCCAAAGCGATATCCCAGCTTGATACGTCAACGCGTATCTTTCTATCAGATCAAGGCGTCTTAAAGCTACCACGAGGATCCATCACACACGCTCTGTTGGCTGTATTCTTCAAGCATGTCCACCCACACGTTCCTGTAGTTGACAAAGCTGCGCTGGTTCGCGATTATTCAGCACGCACGTGCTCTCCCCTGCTTTTGAACAGTATGTTTGCGCTAGCGTCGCACTTCGCCGACGAGGGTCTTGTCATCGCCGTTGGAGTAGGGACAGGTAGTAGTAAGGGAGAGATGGCAGACCATTTTGTACAAAAGGCGCGGCTCCTGGCTGACTTTGGACTGGAGCATGACCACGAGACCCAGTTGGTGAGCTTTTTGTTGCTGACACAGATGTGGCAGACGTGGACGATGGAGCGGAATCCAAGGTACTGGATAGGAAGGGCTATGAATGTAGGTGTGGGGATGGGGCTCTTCAGAAGGTTGGTTCCAACTCTCACCTTTCTTTTTCCTGTTCTGTTTCTGACGGCGTTTCTTTTGACAGGGTACACACGATGCGGATGTCTGAAGAAGACGTGTTGAGGCGAAGCCGTCTTGCATTGCTGCTCTTGGTGAGTACATGCCAATGATAACCCGCACTTGGCGCGTTGCGATCCGTTCTAGAAGACCTTTGCTGATACTGAAGGCAAGGCATGTGACGCTATGACCGCCACAGAAGTTGGCAGTCCGATGACTCTTGCAGAGGAGGACATCGAACTACAGCTACATGCTGAACGTCGCTATTTTGAAAGCTGTGTCACTTCGCCAATAACGCCATCCGCAGCTCACTACCAATCTGCTGAACTTGATTTCATGACGACTTCTTTATCTCTCATGTTGTTTCGTATGTGGTCATTCGCAAGCAACGGTCTTGGCAGAGGCATCCGCTAAAGCAAAGCAGTTCGAGAAATTCTCAGAGCCGTCTACGCAGCTCGGCCTGTAACAACCCAAAGCGCAGCTTTGAATGTCGTCGAAGACAAGCTGAGGCACTACAACACGATCGTCACACCTCTCCCTCTTGCTCAACAGCAGATACCGCCTGACGATAGTTCACCTCATCCAATCTTCAGCCTTTTGCTTCGGCTGCGCCTTCTCTTCAACCGGTTGATTTTCTACCGTGGAATCGTGTTTGGTCGCATTCGACATGAGAAGCGGATATATGACGAAGAAGCCCTTCTTGTTACAGTGGTTGACATATGTGAAGTCGTACGTTATCTTGACTCGCATCAGTTTCTACCTATCTGTCCGGGTTGGACGTAAGTAACAGAGGTTCTTCGATCGTGAACACACCGATTGCTTAAATCTAACCCGTGTATAGAACCACTGCTCTCTTTCATGCGTCAGCTGTGCTATTGAACTTTTATGCTGGCAAAAGCTCTATTGCGGCGTCTGATATAGCAATCGACTTACCCACTCTTATCATTCAATTGATTGAGAACCTGGAGAAGATGGAGGAGACATGGAATTTTGCTGCTTGGATAGGCAGGGCAGTGAGGACTGCTTTGGACTCGGTCAAAAGGAAGGTGGATCTTCGACAACAAAAGCAAAACCCGCCAACGCGAGATGGTGATTCCCTTGGTGCAGAACGTGATCCTTTAACACCTCTATCAGCAGATATGCCTCTCGACAATGGTTTTATGGATATTTTCGATTGGCATGCAATCTTTCCCGATGGAATACCGTTCCAATGAGAGCAATCCGCGACTTCAATCTAGAATACATTATGTCGATACAAAATCTATTCTTGATATGTACTACATGTCGTGTGGCAATGCAAGGCCACATACCAACGCCCAAGATACAACCACAAAGACGATACCCTCCAGCTTCTCTAGACCGCTATACAAATTCTTGTGCGTATTTCAACTATACACACAGATATGTTCATTCAACATTAGACAGCAATCATGAGGTGTAGGATCTTTCATGCAGACTTGTTTAAGGCTTCCTTAGCTACAGATTATGCGTTCCAAAACGCAGTACACTGTTTCGCAATCATACTCGTAGATCACCGAAAGACTTAATGATATAACGGATAGCATCAGTTCTGTATGTGTCCTGCTCCAGCCTCGTTCCATCAATGCCAAATAGCATGTTCACCGCATTTCCGGGCTTGTAGGTGGGCCAGGTCACATTGAAGTTTTCGACTGTGTCATGTTATTCCTATCTTACGTATCTTTGAGGAAGTAAGTGTAACGAGGACTTGAGGCACACGTCCCTCGAAGGAACAGAGTACGCGCTAAACCTGCTTATAAGGCGCGCCTCGCTCTACAGAGCGAGGTAAGGATTATTCTCTTTACAACCTACATCTGTAGTCTGAATATACAAGCTATCTCCCACTATCCTTAGTAACGTGAAGCAAGCACTATTGCCTACAGTTACGCCTCACAGTAAGGACTTACCATCGTGGCCGTTTGGCGAATGCTCGTTCACAAAGCTGATCCACATGCGGCTCATGAGATTGCTCACTTGCAAGTACTTTTGACGGGGTTTGAAAGAGGCAGAGGCAAGTCTGTTAACCTCGTGTCCTACGCCATCGAAATTCCGGAATGCGAAAGGTATCTCTTGGAAATGGGGAACGCCTAGGATCTCAGAATCGATACCGTTTGGAACTACGCTGAAACGATAGCTGTATACGGGCACCCTGTATTGTCCCCAAACTTCCGTGGTGTAACGTCTTGTGGCATCGAATATGATATCACCTTGGTACATAGCCAAGTTTCCGAATAAAGATCCATACTGAGGACCCGGTGACTGGCGTATCGTGCCGAGACTCTTTTTCAATTCTTCCTCTGACATTTTGTTGACGTATTCATCCACGATGCCATTGATAGTGGTGCTTGAGATGCCTTTCCATGACCCGGCGACGTAATCTTGAAAATCAGCAGACGTGTTTGCAGCAAAGCAACTCGCAACGATAATGGAGCTTGCTTCATTGTAACAAGTTCCAATAAGAAGTGGACGGTTTGAAAACCTTCCTTCGCGCAGAGCAACAGAAGTGTAACCGGTAACTAGATCTGCGTCCAAGATGGGCACGTATGAACCAGACGTGCGAGCAAAAGCTTGGTTCAACTTGCTGGCATCTTGAGATCGTAGACATTCCAGGTCATCTTTCATAGCCAAACACCCAATATCTGTCAGAATCCTCTCGTACATGACGTCTTGCTCGTCTGATGCGGTCAGAGGAGCACCGAGTACTGGCCCACCACTTTCAGCAATCGCAGCATGAAAAAATTCTTCGTCTTGTTCTTCATTGGTAAGATAATGCACACCAATTGAGAAAGCACCGGCTGACTCTCCTTGGACTGTCACACGCGAGGCATCTCCACCAAATGCGGCAATGTTCTCTTGAATCCAGCGCAGCGCCATCCTTTGGTCGTGAAGGCCAAGATTGGTGTTACAAGCAACAAAAGGAACTCCACCCTTGATGAAGGAGTCGGCACAGAACGCCAGCCGGCGACCACGTCAGAAGGTAATGATCAACGCGGGGCGCTGATCACGTGATGTGGCCTCCCGCCAAGC